GCAGAGTGACAGGTGATGAACAGGCCAGTGACTCACTTCTAGCCTGTTATCTTGGTTTCAAATTATAAAAGTTTTAAGGCCATCATCAATACTTTTATATGCATGTGGAAACAGATTGCAAGCTAGGACTACTGTCAAGTGGGTCATATAATTCTAGTATGTAAGATGAAATAATGCTTTACTCATTACCTTTTGTTTTATATTATAAATTAAGTACCTTGTCATTTCTTCAATTATAAATAGTATAGTAGTAATATCAGCATTTCCTAACATTATTAGCCTCTGCTTCAAATTTCTTTGCGGTAATATTTGTATTGGGTCATTATCTGCAACAGCTTCTTATTGTTTTGCAGACAACAGAACAGTTATTGTTTTCCTTAATCTCTTAATCTTGTTGACTTCACTGTTTCTGCAGTTGGTTGTTGTTTACGGTATTGATGATAGTGCAAAAGTAGTACATATTGTTTGCATATTTTTCCATGTTTCAATTATCTCAAAATGCAGAACATGTTGCAAGCACTCGTGAGAGGTGACTTTTGATGAGTCCTGAAGTGTTAGCTCCTAACAACAAGCAACAGATGTTTATGCAATTTAACAGACTTTGGGAAATTTATTATTAATGTATTGGTTGTCTCCCAGTTGAAATTCCCAATTTTCTCTTACAGTGCTTTGAAACAATACCACTGGCTTGTGTTTGTTTCTCATCTGACTTTCTATGTCACAGTTGAGTTATCATATGTGAATCACAAATTTCGTAATCTTATAAAACCCAGGCTAGTTCAGTCTTCAATACTTTATAGGAACACCTACACATGAGCAACAGCTCTTGTGTATCTCCATAATATAAGAACACCACACAAATGAGTTTCTTGATTGTGTGGAGTCCTTATGTGTGCGTATTTGCTCATCTGTAGGGAATCCCTGGCAGATATTTAGCATGGACATTAGAGAACCGTGCTATATATGACATAGAGGATGGGGCTAGGAGTCCTATTCATGAAACAGTTTTGTATAGGGCCATGATGATTTCTCAATCAATAAGTATCATATGAAAAATATATATGTAATATTTATATGAACATAATGGTGGCATATACATTTAAATAATGAGCAAACGGGGAACTCATTCAGGAAAAGAGGAACACCTTAAGGCTTTTGGAAACTTCAATGCACTTAAGTAGACAAATACTGTAATTACAAATCCCACTGAAATTAATGGGCTAAAACACACTTACCTTTTCTTGGCTTGGACTTTCAGTTTGTTTGATAATCCTAATGTTTCAATCTTCCTGCTTTGTATAAAGAGAATATTTTATATTTCTTCTCCTTCTCCTCCCATCACCCTTCTTTTTTTCCCAGCTTAGAAAAGATGTCCAATTTTGAATGTTAGAAAAATACAGACCTCTTTCTTACTATGTTTTTTTTTTTTGGCTTTTCCATTTCCAAACAAGACCTTATCAGTAATCAATTAATTTAAAAACCACTCATTAGAAAAGGATTTTTCAATTTCAATGGCCATATCAGTACATGAAGTTTGTATGTGCCCAGCTAATTTATAGCAGAATACCTAATTTAGTGCCTCAGAGAAAGAAATTGTATGTGCGTGTTTCAAGGTGTCAGATGGCAATGTAGCACAAGAACTGAGCTTATGCATTGCACAGTGATGGGAGGAAAACTATCTTTTCAGTTAAAAATGGATATGGGTTGGATAGCTCATTGCTCGCATCATTAAACCAGATATTTCATATGATTTTTTCTTTGTGTGAACATTTGTCACTGAAAGCCATCAACTAGCAAGTAGCACTTGCTGGTGTTACATGCTAATGGATTGCAGCTTCCTAAGGGGCCAATTGTATTGGGAGGATGAGAGAAGATAGAAAACACTGCTTTTACATTAAAGCATTCCAGCCTCAGAGGTCATAAAACCTCTTATCTGCTGCAGGCTCCTAGGAACATGGAGAGTCCCAGGCTTTCAACAGGATTATGAATGGCACTTGCCAGCTAGTTTTTTTTAATTATTATTATTTTTACTGTCAGCAGAGGTTAGTGCAGCTCAGCATAATGAGGCAGGGTTTCACATGCCAGATGCATACAGACCTAAGAGTGCTTTCTCACTGGTTGGCTTGTACACTCACATTTGGTTTTACAAAAGAATATATTAATTTCTATACTAAGGGTGTCCTGAATTTTTTTTTTTTTTAAATACTGTCAAGGCAGAGCACAGGGCCTGTAATCAAGGAGCTGAAAGGATGGCCTCAGTGACTTTAAGTGGCTATTCCTACCAATGACTAGTGGAAACTTAAAGGGGCTTGAAGGCAGATTTAGGGATAGGATACTGACAGAAGAAGTGTCTGGCTGTGAAAGCTAAACCCCTGTTTACCTTCAAATGCCTTTGGGCTCTATCGCAGTGTAGCATCCATCTGCAGTGTTCCTTTGGAATCAAGATATATGTGACGAGGTTGATGCCTGTTACAGTATTTGTATTGAGCTAGGCCCTTGGGAAGGGTGGGAAGGGTGCTCTCCAGTTCCAAAGCCTTTGTAAGTCTACTGGATGAGAGTGAGGATAAATGGCAATGTCATAAAGTACTAAGCTAGATGGTGGCAGCAACATCCCTTTCTCCTTGTTCCTGCTACTGCATGCCCAATATCCAGAAACAAGGTGCTTCCTGAGTCTGGACTCTCTTGAATCTGGGCATAATTCTATAACTAACTGAGGAAAAATGTTAGAAAACATATTTTGTAGTCATTTGTCTCCTGCCTTTCTTCAAGTGAAATGTTTCAAGATGTAAAGTTGTATTGGATTTGTTGTGAGATCTCCAAAGAGTATTTTCCATGGCAAATGAATATTTACCACTCACTCAAAAAGCATACACCTGAAAATGGTTGAATAATACTGTTATTGTTGCACTGTATTCTGAGGAAACTGCTTTGAGACTTTCCCAGAAAGGCTATGCTTTCTATCAGTCTCTTCGCGCTCACTATCCTCATTCAGCTGCTGTTGGGTTTAACTAGAGCTTTATTATAGCAAGTTAGGTGAAAAAGGAAAAAAAAAAAAAAGGGAAGGAAGGAAGGAAGGAAGAAAGACAAGACAAGACAAGACAAGAAAGACCACAGTTAGGACAAGTTAGGAGGTGCAGCATTTGCTTATTTTGCTTTCTCAATCAGATTGAAATCCAACAGTTCTAATATGTGTAGTTACACCATTGTTCAAGGCTGGCTCTTGTGGCATAAATCATAATCACTAAGTTTTAATCACAGGATTTCTGTAGGGCCACCAGGTGTGTTTGAATTGTAATTCCCAACATGTCCAATGAGGCAAGGCAACACTGAATGAAACTTTGGTGAATTGCAGGATCAGACTAAAGAAAGGATCTAATGGTTGATTGGTTTCAGCCAGTTTCTAAAATGGCACCGTCACTCTCCTGAGCCATTCAAATGGGGCATATTGAGTTCTGTGTAATGTTTCTTTAAATGCATCATTTAGCCTTCTTTCAAAAATACCATATATGAAATTAATTTATTCATACATTTCAAGAATAAAATGCTAGGGATCTATTTGTCTGGAAATATTCCCAATTTTATTCCCTGTTGTCTCTTATGAGAATAGTGTCTTGTGAGATCTACCTGTGAAATGGATCACTGAACTGATGGCTACAAAAGAACTTGTCAAATTGTAATTCCTTGTTTGGATAGTTTATATTCAGATATGTGGTGATGGGTAGATTTCCACCCATCCACCGTTTTTCATGCTAATGATTTGCCTAAGGCAACCCAGTGGTCCACTTTGATCTCAAAATATATGTTAAATTACAATTTGAGGATAATTCTCTGAAATGGCTCAGAATATAGTACAGTGGGGCAAAAAAGTATTTAGTCAGCCACCAATTGTGCAAGTTCTCCCACTTAAAAAGATGAGAGAGGCCTGTAATTTTCATCATAGGTATGAGGTGTTCACTCAAAATCTCATGATACATGGCCCCATTCATTCTTTCGAGGTGTTCACTCAAAATCTCATGATACATGGCCCCATTCATTCTTTCGAGGTGTTCACTCAAAATCTCATGATACATGGCCCCATTCATTCTTTCGAGGTGTTCACTCAAAATCTCATGATACATGGCCCCATTCATTCTTTCGAGGTGTTCACTCAAAATCTCATGATACATGGCCCCATTCATTCTTTCGAGGTGTTCACTCAAAATCTCATGATACATGGCCCCATTCATTCTTTCGAGGTGTTCACTCAAAATCTCATGATACATGGCCCCATTCATTCTTTCGAGGTGTTCACTCAAAATCTCATGATACATGGCCCCATTCATTCTTTCGAGGTGTTCACTCAAAATCTCATGATACATGGCCCCATTCATTCTTTCGAGGTGTTCACTCAAAATCTCATGATACATGGCCCCATTCATTCTTTCGAGGTGTTCACTCAAAATCTCATGATACATGGCCCCATTCATTCTTTCCTATGATGAAAATTACAGGCCTCTCTCATCTTTTTAAGTGGGAGAACTTGCACAATTGGTGGCTGACTAAATACTTTTTTGCCCCACTGTATATCCCACTGGCTCAAGCAAATTCTATGCTACCTATAAATTAGAAAGTGTTGAGATAAATGCAGTTTTCAATATCACTCTTTTTATAGTAAATGCCTTGGTTAATAAAGCTAGCTTAAATTGTTTGCCCTAAAATAGTTCTGTCCTTAGGGTAAGCAACAGAAGCATCATGGTTCAGACTTTGCAAACAGAGATGGGGCAGAATTTGCTTCCTGTTTGCAATTTATCCAGTTAGCAATTATTTATAACACAGAAATAAGTTAATTTGACTGGGGTATAATATTGTAGACAATCAGATGCCATGTAACAAGATTTATTTATGTATAAAACTAGTAGTCACAATGAAAATAATATAACATGAATCAAATATATTTCCTAACCAAATTGCTTTAATTTTATGTGCAGATGGATAATGCTAAATTTCTTGCTGTTTTTCAGAAATGTGCCGCTTGCCATTTGCACATCAATGGTTATTGTCACATTTGGCTACGTCTTAACTAATGTGGCCTATTTTACAACTCTCAGCCCTGAGGATATGCTAATCTCCAAGGCAGTGGCAGTGGTAAGTCATGGTAAAATACATAAATTAAACTAGGGAGTATTATAATGTATTGAAACTAAATTCTTTGAGTATAGGGGAAGAACTTAATTTCTAGGATCTACATTTCAGTATTAAAGAATATGTATTGACTGATTTTTCTGTTTTTTGTTAGACTTTTGCTGAACGCCTACTGGGAAGTTTTTCCTTAGCTGTTCCTATTTTTGTTGCACTTTCTTGTTTTGGATCTATGAATGGTGGCATTTTTGCAGTTTCTAGGTAAGTTATTCTTTTGCTAATTATAGGTAAAAGAAAAGTGAATGGAATATAGAAACACACACACACACGTGCACACACATACTAGACTTATTTCTCCAAATGTAAATATCACTGACAGTCTAATGATAGAATGAATACAGAGGGAATATTATACCTTTGAGCACAGTCTAATAGTAAAATGAATTAAAGCAGTAGAACAATCTATAATATTTCACAACTCCCATTTAAAATAATTTTTTTTTATTGTACCCATTGCCTAGTAATACTTTCTGATACCTGTATAATTTATCTGCAAAGGTAAAATAAAGCAGTGCTCAGCTGCTCCTGTTTTTGAATGTTGACAAAGATGTAAGTTTAAAATACGTTTTAGAAGCATTTTTCATGGGCTTCTGAATTTGTTTTCTCAAATTCTTTAATTCAGCTTCTGGTGCTTGCCTTACATAGAAACAAATAGTACTATTGAGGATAACTTTGAATGTATTCTGCGTCTCTGGTGAGCTGCTTCAATTAATCTTGGTAATGAGCATCTTTAAAAGCTGTCCAAATTTATTTTCCCACCAGGATGTTCTACGTTGCATCCCGTGAGGGTCACCTTCCAGAAATTCTCTCCATGATTCATGTTCGCAAGCACACTCCTCTACCAGCTGTCATTGTTTTGGTAAATCATATAAACAAATGGCTCTTTATCAAGACTGTGTAACATGGTCCTGCTCTGAACCATTCAAATGTAACTTAAATGCTACTTGAAACTTAGTTATTTATTTCCATTTTATGTTTGGAGGGGTAGAAAGTATATAATGAGGTGATGTATTCAAGAACTTTCTGCTAGTTGCACTTAACTCACAGGGTGGCACCTAAATCAGACCTCACTATATTTTATTTGAGGGTTGAATGAGAATGATTAGTTAAACTCTCAATGGAATGACTCTTCCTAGATAGGGAAGCAAACCAGTAAAATTCTACAGAAAGGCTATATGCTAATGTGCTGTTTTGAAGATCTGAAGTTACATTCTAGATATTTTGAAGAAAAATGCAAACAGCAGTGATAGATAAACAGCATTATCCCGCCTTTCATAGTACTAATTCTAGATTTTATATTTATGTATATGTATATGTGTGTGCGTGTGTGTGCACGTGCGTGTGTATAAAAATTCCCCTCTCACCCCTATGAGTGGTACATGTCTTCCTCAATCTCAGGTCTTCGACCAGAGGCCTGGGACTTTGTGGGTTCTGCGCAGTATCTTAGCTGTTCCTAGCACTGCACGCTTCCGGACAGAGAGCTCTGATGTTGTTCCTGGGATCTTTTGGAGCCATTCTCCCAGCTTAGAAGTCATGGCCTCGAGTGCTCCTACCACCACTGGGACCACTTTGGCCTTTACTTTCCAAATCCTCTCTATTTCCTCTTTCAGGCCCTGGTACTTCTCCAGCTTCTCCAGCTTCTCATGCTCCTTCTTCCTGATGCTGCTGTCACTTGGCACTGCTACATCTATCACTACCGCTGTCTTCTGGTCTTTGTCTACTACCACGATGCCAGGTTGATTGGCCAGTACCTGCCTGTCGGTCTGGATCTGGAAGTCCCACAGGATCTTAACCCTGTTATTTTCCACGACTTTCTGTGGAATCTCCCATCTGGACGTGGGGGGGGTCTAG